ATCCTTACTGGTGTGAGGTTCAAAGCATTTGCTTTTTAACATTTTGCCAGGATTACAGACCATCTTATTTTGGTTTTTGGTGGCCCGGGGTGAGGTGCTGGGGGTAGGGTGGGAGTGCAGACGAAACAAAGACAATTAAGAGTAGCAGATTTGTAAAACTCTCAGCCCATCATCAAACATCTGTAATTGCATTTTAACTATCTACTGGAAACAGTCTTTGTAGATTCCTTAAATGACACATCTTCACTAGGGTCCTATGTTTATATTTATACACTGTGTTATTGACATGAAATCTGCTGGTTTTAAACACCTCTTTCACTTTCCACTGTTGAATCAAGTTCCAGATTTGATTTTCTTGCTGATCATGGTTCCTACAAGATAAGTTCCTAGATATCTTCAAATCTTTTCTTGTTTACCTCACAGGGATTCTGGATAGGAACTGAAAGCATCTGGGGAGAATGGGAAGGTCATGTGGTATATTGTGGGGAGAACAGACTTGGGCGGAGTTGGCCTGTTGGGAGTCCTAATCCAAGCTCTGTCAAGTCTCCCTGGGCTTCAGTTTCCTCTTCCATAGAGCAGAGAAAAATATTTACATTGTAGAATGGCTGTGATGATTGAATGAACAATGAAAAGCACTTTACAGTTTCTTAATAAGTGTCTATTTATATTCTACTATTTTCTAAAAATAAGGTATAAAAATACAAAAATTCACTAAGAAAAAAGCAAACCATATAAAATCATGTTCAATGAGTGCCAGTTTACTTATTTCTTTTACCCATGTTCCTTCAATAATGTTGTTGGAGAAAATTAGGGAAATATTCTGATTATAAAAGGAAAACATATTAATTGCAAATAATTTTAATATTACAGGAAAATAAGAAGATAAACTTGCATTACCTTTAATATTCTGACACATTCCCTTCATTTTTTTCCAACCTACCCATTTGAAAAAAAATTTAGGATTATGCTCTATATCAATCACATTTACTTCCCATTTTATTCAGTTTCTATTAGATCATAGCATTTTCATTGTCACAAAATATACTCCATAAACTATTTCTTAAGTCTATCAATTGTATGTACCATAATTAATGCCATCCAACATGTTAGTGGTTTTTCTCCTTTTGTTTTTATAAACAAACCTGCAATGAAAGTTTTTCCAGATGTTTATTGACTATATCATACACCAATCTTTCAGTGCTCATCATTCACAGTTTAATTACTTAAATATTTGGTACAATAAATGCCTTATTATGGTTTCTCTTTTGTGAAAAATTTCATGGCTACAGTTACTTATTCTACAAAATTTTAAAAACACTTAATCAAATTCCGTTTTACTCCACTCCAAATACATTACTGTTGGCTTGAAATTGCATTATGCATGTAAGTCCAACTGAAAAAAAAAAGAATATATTTTAATATTCAGAGTTATAATGCAGAAACACAGTATTCTGTTTCCTTAAGATAGATTCTATACATTTCTTGTTAAGATTATGCCTAAGTATTTTACATATTTTATTGCTACTGTGAAAGAAATATTTTTCACATTATAATATTGAACTGATATTATTCTCAATGAACTTTCATTGTACAACCAGCATGCTTGGACTCCAGCTTGATTTATTCTGTATATAGAAAAATATTTGAAAAGCACTTCACTTAATAGTAATAAATGAACTTAGCTGATGCTTGAGAGAGAAAACACTGAGGGCCATGGAGATGATTAGAGCAGAACAACTTTGTAATTATGTAGAGAACTAGGAGCCACTGGTTATTCTAAAGTGTACAATTGCATAGATGAAATTAATGCATTTTGTTTTATTACTGGGGAGGGAAAAAAGACAAGAAATTACTGCACCCATGTCTGTAGTGACAAGTGAAGAGTGACTTTTGAAGATAGTGGGGACCCCAAGAGTACTTGGTTGTTCCATATACTTTAAGCCTTATGCATCTCATATACATCATCATCTGACAATCCTTTTTGGTTTAAGCAAGGTGAAAAATGTAGACAATATCTCCCATGGTAATTAAATTTAAAATGAGGGCTCATGACTGGTATCTAAAGATGATGTTATAAAACTGGCCTCCATGTCCTCAGTCTTACGTACCCTGTTGTCCTTGGAGGCTACACACACACCTGTCATTCACTTGTCCTCGATTTCAAAGGTGGCAGGATGCCAGTCCCAGCCAAGTGTTCACAGTGCAAAGTGCTTTCAACTCTTCTGAAATGAAAGTCAGTATGTAAATGTGCAACATGACGACATTATTATTCTAGCTTCCTGGCTGCTTTCAGCAAGCACTGACTGCCACATGAGGTCTCAAGTGTTCTGGCACAGTGTGCTAGTGTTCAAAAGAAGCTAAAGTAATGAAATTGGATCTACATTTCCATAGATATTCAAGCTGGCATGGAGGAATGGAGTCATGGAATCAGGGTTGGATGATCTCCACCGAACAGCCTAGGCAAGTGCCTGTGATGCCAGGCTACTAAGCAGAATTTTCAATCGTGAAAGGCCACCACTATTTCTTCCTCTGGGTCTAAAATTACAAAATGTGCACATTTCCCCCAGGCTCACATCACTCTCTGGGTGCTTTATGCTCAATCCTCACCCATTCCTTGGAGCATACTAGCTTTGCTTAAATCCAGCACGTTTTAAAAATGAAGAACTAAGTACAAAGAGGGGGGAAAATGTCTTAGAACCTTGACTAGAGCATATACTACTGTATAACGTATGTGACTATTATTCTTAAGAGGGGAACCAGGCTTACCATGAATATGATCTACCTAAGGTACAATCTAGGAAGTGCCAATTTAAGGATTTCAGTTGACCTTGTCTTTTTTTTTCCCTTCAATTTTCATTGCTCACAGGTATTCTCATTTGCACCCAGCATTCTCTGCTGTTGAACTATCTGGAGCCAAGACTAAATTTGTCTGTAGGTGGTAGGGTACAAGAAACTAGGTGTGCTAAGGATGGAGTCATGGTGCATCCAGGGTCAGTACAGATTCTGGATTTGGTCATTCTGAGACCTGACCTCTATCTTGCAACTTTACACCTCCCCTCCCCCTGGCTGCTGAAATGTTTGTTCCTCAGGGCAACAGCACCAGGACATGCCTTGTTCTTTGCAGTTACCTTTATTCTTGTACATGTCCGTGATGCTGGGTACCCTTCCTCCTCCACCTCCCTTTGTATCCTGAAACTTTCATGGGCTTCAAGTATCCATTTATATATATGCAGATATGAAGTTTTTTTAAGTGTAAAAATATAAGATGGACAATTCGAAGAATTCATGCACTAAAGAATACCTAATACAGAATCTCTCTTTATTGTCTTTTAGGACAGTGAAAAAAAGGGATTTATAAATAAAATCTATGCCATCCAGGAGGTATGTATCAGTGTCCAGAACATCCTAGATGAAGTGGCTTCCTTTGGCGAAAGGATAAAGAAGTGAGTGATGATGACATGTGAGCCCTGGCTTTCTGTGGGACATAGTGTCCATTTGTTTCTTGGAGGGTGAAATGCTATTCTTTTTGGCAGGGGACACGCCTTCTGGGTGATTTATTGCTCAGTTTCATCATTATTTACTTTGTTTCTGCCAGTCTTGGGTTTTATGAAACTTCTGTCAATTTCCTCCCTGAAATTTAGAACATATTGGTTGGAAAGAAGTCATACTCGTAGCTTTGAAGAAATAACACAATCCTAAATTTTAGCACATTTTCAGAGTGAAAGACTTTGTTCTTAAATGGAATATGAAATTGTGGTAAGAAAAAAATAAACCAAGAAAACTGAGGATTTCAGGTAATCAAGACACACCTACATTTTATTATTGGTCAAGTATGTTTTCATCAAGTCATACTAAATTTTAAGAAAATCATATTATATGTAGCAACCTGCAAAAATATTCTTTCAAATGTGTGTATTTAAATAGCTTTTATGAGATCATAATTATAGATGAAATAAATGAGTGCTTTGTCAATTAGAAAATGCCTGGAATTTTTATAATTATAAAAACCTTTTTTTTTAGAATAAGGAAATACAGCTTCATTGAGATCTAATGTAAAATTAAGAAACTTTATATTACATTACTTGTGTTTATTTCAAATAATTTTTATTAATGCTTTTTAAAAACAACTGCTTAATTATAAAAAAACCACAAGGTAGATTTGCAATAAATGAATATTAGTAAAAAATATACTAAGGCCCCATATTGTTAAACTATGTGAATATGGTCTACATAATAATTGCTAAATGTCTGTTCAAGAAGAGATGCTGTATATCTGGATAAGCTTACATTTTCCTAGTATCATGTTTATATTCATAACCAAAAGTGTTCTGCAGACTTGCATCCTTGGGCATATACAGGATTTGAAAGGAGTAAATTATTTAAAGGTGTGAGTCATTCATTCAGTGCCTTTTATGTTTCAAGGTATAATGCATTTTGTATAATTTTCAATACATTTCCACATATGAATAGGTGCTGAGTTTCCACTTTCTTATATTAGAACAGCCTTCCTCTCACTCCAAATGTGCCTCTAAGCAACAACTCAGATTTCTGAAGACTGATTTCCACATCTTTTCTCTTTCCTTCTTCCTTTCCATGTTATTTCTATCTCTAAGAATGGTCCCTTGTTCTCCAGTGTATCCACTGAAGCATAGTGTAAAGTCCTAAAAATTTCCCTATTGAGTATTGTTCTTTCTTTGAGGTGCACTGTGTTTATACCTGAAGGAAGCTTCTCATTTATTCCATAAGACTCTGGGTCATCTCTGAGGTCAAGCTAGTGAATGCCTAAGGGGAAGACGATTCTTTTTAAATCTGGGTGGTAGGAGACCTTAGAATAAATGCTTGGTGGAAAAACATGGCCAGAGGCTATGGACTGGCCATGGGGAAAACTGGGTTTTATAAAACTTCTCATACATACAGACTGAGGTATAGGAACACGGTATACGGTCCAGTGAGTCTTGTGGGAGCCATCTTCTGTGACAGCAATCCTTCAAATACTAAAACAGAGAGATTCCCCTGGGGTCACATGGGATAAGTTGCGTCTATCCAGAAAGCAGATTCAGAAGCATCTTTTAGTACAAAGGGAATAGCCCGTATAATTACCATATCTTATTACTAATTAATTATACCAGAACTTTTTTGAATCACATCTCTTTTTTGGGAGGAAGACCATATTCTAGATTAAGATTTCACAATGCCCTGTGGAAATACAAAAGGGCTTTTTTTTTTCTTTCTGATATTAGCTACACTGGTAAGGATTCTTTGCCATTTTTCCTTCCAAGAGGAGAAAGGAGAACACAGGGAGCCCTTCAGCGAGGCTGCCCAGAAGGAGGGTTTCTGAGTGAAGAGCCAGTGCCCTCCCATATGGAGCAGTGTGACGGATGGCTCTGAGCTCAGCCACAAGAAAGCAAGCAGACCCTCAGCCTTCTGTTCTCTCTACAAGCAGGCGGAAGCAAGGGAAGCACAGGTGTTAGGAAGCGAGGGAAGCCATGAACTCTACCTGGTGACAGTTGCAGGATGCTCACTCTGGCCATGGGAGGAAAAAGACAAAGATAGAAAAGCCAGATCACAAGCATACTGAAAACAAGACAATGAAATTGATCTGGTTATTTTACTGTCAACATTTCAGGGAACATTTGACCTAGACACAAAAAGCAAGCCATATGCCACAAAGCTATGGAATAATTCCAAAGTGTTGTGCTGAGGCACAGTATGGGAAGAAAATCTCTGAACAGTCATTCTTTATTGAATCAAAAACTGCCCTTGACAAACCCCACCCTAAGTGAATACAACATACATTACCAGGAAATTAGAAGAGAAAAAAACCCCAAACATCATACACAATTTATTTTCCTCAAGTGACTTCTGCCTTACAAGAAATGCCATACTTGGATTCCTAGCTGGCTCTAAAATGTCACATTGGTTCACATATATCCCTTACCGCAACTACCAGTCTTCCTTGATGTATCAGCTGTCCCCTACTTACAAAGGGAGGGAGTTGAAGTTTAAAGAGGTTGGTTGACCTATCTAAAGCCGCAGAACAGAATCCAGGCTTTGGACACAGGTCTGCTACCTTCTTTGCTCATTTCATTAAACTTGCTAAAGAATCACTCGACAGGATGTTAGTTCCTCTTTGGAGGCTGAACGAGGTGGCAGTGGTCTGCCTGATACCACTGGGGTATAGTTAGATACCCCAGTGTGAAGTCTCCATGGTTCTGTTTTCTTTATAATTGTCACTCTCTCTTAGAAACTTTCAAGAGATTCACTGCAGAACTTCTACACAAAAAGTTTTAGTCTTTCCATGTTCCATTTCCCTAATTTCCCACATCATCATTTTTGCTTTTTCTATCTTCATTTTTCCTCCTTTCCTTTTGTCCCACTGCATTTCTTCCCATCTTCTTAGTACTGTCTTTTTTGTAACTTCCTCTACTTCTTTCATTGACCCATTTTCTTTGTTCTGCTGTTATCTCAATCACTACTCAGTCTTGGAGCCTCCCTGACATTCTATATTATCTATTACCAGAGTATGGGGACACAGCAGAGCCATCAGCCAGGCCCTGTTATTACCCACTCTTCCAGCTTACCTTCCCTTTTCATAGTCTGTCCAACAAATCTACCATGTGCGATGCTCTCCTTTGCCAGAAATAATATAGGGAGACTAGTAGGCCATACTGACTTTATTTCTTAAGTTATCTGTGTATTTCTGGGAAGAAGAGCATGATGGCAGGTGAAGTTTTACAAGACTAACTGCTCTGTTCCCCCTTCCCGACTTCTAGCTCCATTTGAAACATAGGTGAAGTGGGAAGTGAGTATTCCTCTAAGGAATTCTAAAGGTCAGAGGATTTGCACAACAGTGTGAGGTTTGGGTCTACAGACAAATGCTGTACATTTTATTTCCAGTGTGGGGGATTCGGTGAGAGTTGATAGAAGAAAGAATGGTAAGCCCAGGTGCATTCTCCTACGTGAAAAGTTGGAGAAACCCAAGATTGGGTGCTAGCTTTAGAAATATGAAAACAAAATTGTTTTGTTGTTTTACCATGTGGGGGGTCACCCAAGTAGTGCAATGACTTTAGACCCTGAAGTCACCTGGGACAATCTGGAGGGGTTGGTGGCAAGGATGTGTTCACGGAGCTGATCAAATTAGACCAACTTACATCCTCTGATAGCCCACTACAGCTGGATTCTATTCCAGAGAGAAATGCAGTCCTACTGGATAGATCCCTAGTCCAGATTTTAAATCAGAATCACATTTATACTTTAATCTTTGTTTGAAAAAGTAGAAAGTGCTCAGATTGCTGATGTGTTAATTTCTCATTCAGTACGTTCAACTGGACCGTCCCATTCTTAAGCTGGCTGGCCATTGTAGCCCTCTGTGTGTTCACAGTCATCCTGTACTTCATTCCACTGAGATACATTGTCCTTGTCTGGGGTAAGTGAAGCCTTTGTTTTTTTTAAACTGCCTTAGCTGCTAAGAATAAACTATTTTTAAGGGATGAGTTATATGTCAGTAGTTTCCTGTATTTATAGTCGTGAAGCTACTCCATGATGAAAAGAGACAGGCTAGTTAAAAATCACAACAGTATAAAGATTTAGGTCTACTGCAAAATGCATTTTTCTTATCTGGCACCATAGGTTCCATCATACTATAAATGTAGTTGTGCAGATTCTTCAAAGTGTAGCTTTGTCTAGAAATCACTCTGATTTATTTTCACCACTTTAACGTAAACAGAGGCATTCTGATCCATACAGTGCATTTAGAACAATATGCTTTTGTGCTTTGTACTCTATCTTGTGAGTGTCCATCAACAGGGTACTATATATGGCTGCCTTGTTAAGAGGTCACCTTTAGGATGCAGGAAAAAGTGTGCTGGCATTGACAGGCTGCTTAGGAGCAAGAAACCTTTATGCGTACTAAACAAGAATGCTTCTCCAAAAACCTACTTTAAAGGCAGTATTTCTGAGTCCTATTTTTAAAGCAGTTATACTGCACACTTCTTATGCACCTAGACTCCATTTTAGGTGGTGGTTTCGCATTCTTTACAGTTTTGGGGTTTTTGTTTCTTTATTCGACAAAATTCTTGGTTTCAAAAACTCACTTTTCAGTCTCTAAGGTCAACTGACATATAAAACTACATTAATGATATATAAGCAAAACTGAGTAGAAGTATAATTCTCTACTTGCCCCTGGCCTGCATACACCGAAGATTACTAAATCTATACAAAAAGCAAAGAACCAAAATGGATCTTAACTTCAGAAAGCATGTGCTTACACAGAAAGCAAAAACATCAAAGGAAATGTTCTTTTATTTTTAAAGCTTTTAAAGAAATATGCTGGAATAAAGTGAGAAAGGATGTAATGTCTCCAAACCCTCCTGTTTCAAGATTCTTCTATTCTTTTTGGACTATCTTGTCATATCTTGAGTAAACCCTTAACCATCACTATCATTATTACCTTTATATCTTGGTTAAGGAATGGAAGATGAGGGGAATGATTATTTTTATCCTTATTATTTTCTCTACTTTAAGGAGACAGTTTCAACTAACACAGTACTTTGACTATACAAGGGAAGAGGCATTTCCACCATGTTCTTGCTTCCCTATTGTAGGTTCAAGCCCTCATCTTTCATTCCTTCCTCTGATATTTAAAACAGATGCTATTTTATTGAAGGAATTAGGGTAGGGCATTAGGTGTGGTAGTTTATTACCTCTAACCTACCTCAGGTCAGACCTGCCATCTCAGTAGTGATAGGTGGTGAACCTCTGGTTTAGATTCCCCAGGTTCCCAGAAACTGGAGCCCATGGCAGACATCTGGCTATGTAACCTAGGGTGGCCTCACTGGCTAGCTGTCTCAAATGTAATTTTTAGAGAATGTTGGGGCCTTTTGTTTCATCAAATGAAATAAAACAAGAACAGTATTTCTATAGTGGTAGGTGATTGCTGAAATATTAACCTGAACTCTAAGACGTGGGTGTCAGATGGGGAGGCAGAGTAAAATCATGGCTGCAGAAGTTTTTTCTACTGAACATCCTGAAGAGCCAAGATGCTCTAATTTATGGCCCAGTTTTGCCAGTCTATTGATTTCATATATTTTTTATGTGAATATGCTTGGTAATTTATTAAGTGTGATATAAATGTAAAAGAGAAGACTTATCTCACTGAAATTCTTCACTGTATCATAGAATATGTAGATACTTCTAATTTTGTACACTGACATTTTTGTCTCATTAATTCATTTGCTTGTATAACTCCAATTTCGCCTGTATTTACCCCTCATCCAGTTTGGTCTTCAGGTACTGCATAGGATTAACTGTAGAATAATTTAATATGGGTAAATGTGGCTCATCTTTAACGGTTCTTGGCCATTCTACTCTAAGAAGTGATTTAAGTTAAGTCAATCCAGCAGCATCTTTTGTAGGCATTACATTTAAATTTTTTATTTAAAAGGAAAATTGGTTTCTGAAAATTTTAATGCCAGAGATGTAGAAACAGAAACTTGTTCTTCTGATGAGAATTTAAGATCTACTCTCTTAACAGCTTTCAGCTATGCTAGTATTATTAACTATAGTCAGTATACCAACCACACATTATCATGATTTATTTACTTTATAACTGGAAGTTTATGTTTTGATCTTCTTCACCCATTTTGTCCAACCTGCCAACACCCATGTCTGGTAATGACCAGTCTATATGAGCTTTTTTTTTTTATAGGTTCTACATATAAGTGAGATCACAGTATTCATCTTTCTCTGACTTATTTTACTTAGCATAACTCCCCCAAAGGCCATCTACATTATTGTAAATGGCAAGATTTCCCTCTTTTTTTCTGGCCAATATTCTACTGTGTGTGTGTGTGTATATATATATATATATATATATATATATATACACACACACACACACATACACATTTTCTTTATTCCACATCTTGGCTATTATAAAGGGTGCTTCAGTAAACACTGGGTGTGCATGTATCTTTTCAAGTTAGTGTTTTCATTTTATTCACATAAATACCCAGAAGTTGAATTACAGGATGATATGGTACTTCTGTTTTTTTGAGGAACCTCCATACTGTTTTCCATACACCAATTCACATTCCCACCAACCGTGCATGAGGATTTTTTTTCCTCCACATCCTCACTAACAGATGTTATTTCTTGTCTTCTTGATGATAGCCACTCTACCAGGTGTGAGGTAATACCCCACTGTAGTTTTGATTTCCATTTCCCTAATGATTAGTGATGTTGAGTATCTTTTCAGGTACCTATTGGCTAGCTGTCTTCTTAGGAGAAACTTTTTTAGACCCTCTGCCGAGTTTTTAAGTAGTTGCTTATTATTTTTTTAACTATTGAGTCACAAGTTATTTATGTATTTTATATATTATGAGATCTTTTCTAAGATTCAGTAAGTTGCCTCTTCACTTTGTTGATGGTTTTGTCTGATGAGCAGAAACTTTTGTGTGATATAGTCCTACTTGTTTATTTTTACTTTTGTTGCTTCTGTTTTTGGTGTCAAATTCAAAAAATCACCAAGACTAATGTCATGTTGCTCACTGGCTATATTTTCTAGGAGTTTTGTGGTTTTAGGTCTTATGTTCAGATCTCTAATCTATTTTGAGTTAATTCTTATGTATGGTATAAAATATGGTCCAGTTTTCCAACACCATTTATTGAAGAGACTATCCTTTCCCCATATATTCTTTGCTCAGTTGTAAATTAAGTGACCATATCAATGGGTTTATTTCTGGGTTCTCTATTCTGTTCCATCAGTCTATGTCTGATTTTATGCTAGTATCATACTGTTTTGGTGACTATAGCTTTGTAATACAGTTTGAAATCAGGGAGCATGATACTTTCAGCTTTGTTCTTCTTTCTTAAGATTGCTTTGGCTATTCAGGGTTTTTTGTCTTTCCACACAAATTTTAGGATTATTTGTTCTACTTCTGTGAAAGATGTCATTTAAGTTTTTATAGGGATTGAATTGAATCTGTAGATTGCTTTGGTTAACATAGACATTTTAACAGTATTTTTCCAATCCATGAACAAAGAATATCTTTCCCTTTATTTGTAACATCTTCAAATTTTTTAACATCTTATAGTTTTCAGTGTACAGATCTTTCAAGTACTTCATTATACTTATTCCTCCATATTTTATTCTTTTTGATAAAATTATAAATGGAATTTTCTTAGTTTATTTTTCTAATAGATCATTATTAGTATAGAGAAATGCAACATATTTTTATATTGACTGCATAACCTTGTAAGTTTGCAAATTGACCACCCATACACAGAGGGCATGAATAGATGAAAGAAAGAGGCCAACCACTCTAGATTGGTAGGTGGCAGTTTTAATAAACAAGGGAACTTCTTTACAGGGCTTGTGTTGGGTGGCCTCAAGGCAAATAGATCTCAGCACCCACCCACCAGAATCTTAAAAGTTTATATAGAGGCCTTAACTGGATTCAGTCACATACATAGTCCAGATGTTCTCAACACCTTTCTCTATCAACACTATATCCTTGGAACAGCACCCCTATGGGAACAGTGGGCAGAACTTACATTCCAATGACAAGAGAGGGTAAGCTTTTGATTGCCTGAGTCTAGCTCAAGGATCATATTCTCTCAATTACCTTTCCAACAACCCTGAAACTTTACAGAATTCATTTATTAGTTCTAAACAGTTTTTTTAGTGGAGTCTAAAAGGTTTCTGTATGTAATATATCCTCTGCAAATACTGACAGGTTTACTTTTTTCTTCCCAATATGGATGCCTTTTTTTCCCTCCCTTGTCTAAATGATCTGGCTAGGACTTCCAATACTAAGTAGAAGTGGTGAGAGTTGGCATCCTTGTCTTGTTTCTGACCTTAGAGAAAAAAAATTCTGCTTTTATTGTTGAATATAATATTAGCTGTGGGCCTGTCATATATGGCCTTTATTATGTTTAGGCATGTTCCTTCTCTACCAACTTTGCTGAGTGTTTTTATCATCAATGAAAGTTGAATTTTGTTAAATGCTCTTTCTGTGTCCTACTGAGATGAGCATGTGATTTTTGGCTTTCATTTTATTAATGGAGTATATCATAACTGATTTGCAGATGTTCAGCATCCCTGAAGTAAGCCCAAATTGATCATGGTCTATGAGTATTTTAAACTATCGATGAGTTTGGTATACTACTATTTTGTTGAGGATTTTTGTGTCTGTGTTCATTATGGATATTGGCCTGGGATTTTCTTTTCTTGTGTTTTATTTGTCTGCTTTTGGTACTGGAGTAATGCTGGCCTTGTAGAATGAATTTAGAAGTGTTTCCTCATTTTCTATTTTTTTGGAAGAGTGAGAAGGGTTTGAATGCTTGATGGAATTCACCAGTGAAGCCATCTGGGTCTGGACTTTTGTTTGTTGGGAGGTTTCGATTACTGATTCAATTTCCTTACTAGTAATCAGTGTATTAAGATTTTCACTTTCTTTATGATTCTGTCTTGGAAGATTGTATGTTTCTAGGAATTTATCCATTTCTTCTAGGTTACCCAATTTGTTGGCATATAATTCATAGTAGTTCTCTTATGATCCTTTGTATTTCAGCAGTGTCAGCTGTACTGTTTTCCTCTCTCATTTCTGATTTTGAGTATTGCCTTTTTTTCTTGCTGTGTCTAGCCAAAGGTTTGTCATTTTGTACCTTTTCAAAGAACCAGCTCATTGATCTTTTCTATTGTCCTTTTAGTCTCTGGTTCACTTATTTCCACTCTAACCTTTGTTACTACCAACTTTGGGCTTTGTTCTTATTTTTCTAGTTCCTTGAGGTGTGAAGTTAGGTTGTTTGAGATTTTTCTTGTTTACTGAGGAAGGCATTTATCACTATGAATTACTTCTTAGAACTGCTTTTGTTGCATCCCATAAATTTTGGTATGTTGTATTTCCATTTTCATTTGTCTCAAGGTATTTTTACTTCTAATTTCTTTGTTGACCCACAGGTTCCATAACATGTTGTTTAGCATCCACATGTTTGTGAATTTTCCAGTTTTCTTCTTTTATTTCTAGTTTAATACCATTGTAGTTGGAAAAGAGGCTTGGTATGATTTCAGTCTTTTAAAATTTATTAGGAGTTATTTTGTGGCCTAACATGATCTATCCTGGAATATATTCCATATGTTGAGAAGAATGTGTATTCTGTTGCTTTTGGATGCTTTCGTTTCAGGTTGAAGAAGTTCCTTTAACATTCCTTGTAAGCCAGGTTTATTGGTGATGAACTCCTTCAGTTTTTGCTTGCCTGGAAACCTCACTCTCTCTCGTTCAATTCCAAATGATAACTTTGCCAGATAAGAGTATTCTTGGTTGGAAGTTTTTTTCTGTCAGCACTTTAAAATACGTTGTGCCACACTCTCTTTGGGCCTATAAAATTTCTGCTGAAAAATCTGATCATAATATGCAGGTTTCCTTGTACATAAGGAGTTTTTCTCTTGCTGCTTTTAAGATTCTCTCCTTTAACTTTTGAAATTTTAATTATAATGTGTCACAGTACAGATCTCTTTAGGTCCCTCTTACTCTGGGTTTCCTGGATTTAGATGTCTCTTTCCTTCTCTAGGTTAGTGAATTTTTCAGCCAGTATTTCTCTCTGGAAAGACAGAAAATTCAGTCCTTAGATATATGTTTAATTAGAAGCCTGCCCCTCAAGCTGCAGCTATGATCATAAGCTTATCAGCCTCTTTCATAGGAAGACCGAGTGTTGGGTATTTTGCCTCTTGCTGTGCCTTGAGGGTGATATCATTTTAAGAACTTTCTCCATTGGGTATAGTCCTGTGGGATCTGTGAACATAAGCCCAGATGGCCACTAGAGCTAGGTGGTAGTATAGCGGTGTCCCTGGTAGCAGTTGCAAAAATTGTGGCACCAGACAAGGATATAAGTTTCTTTCTGGGAGATACTGGCAAGATGTAGCAAGGCAGAGGGAGAGTACAAGGACTATGTCCACTGGCCTTTGTTCCCTGACAGAACCTTCAAAGGCTCCTATAACTATGGCAGACCAGAAGCCTGACCCTTGGGCCAAAGCTCCTGGATGAGGAAATAGTCTTTTCTCTTGGAAAGCCTAAGGGTGTTTTGCAGTTGGTCAAGAACATCCTCTCCAACTGTCACAGTCGCACAGGACTCAAAACACAAGCACCCCTGGCCTCTAGAGCCAAATGTCCAAGGAGTGTCTTCTGGGTGGCAGTCACAAACACTAGGTCACCAGACATGTATAAAAGCTCCCCTCTGGGAGATACTGGCATTCTGAAGTATGGCAGAGGCAGAGTGTGAAGACAGCGCTTGCCTGCTTTAGCAGGGTAGATGGAGTTTGTGGAAATATTGCCTGTTAGCCTCTGTCCCCAGCGTATTCCTGCCTCTCTGAACAATGCTTTAGCAAATGAATCTCTTTCACATAAAGTCCGGGTACTTTCAAACAGCTGCTTCTGCACTGGGCCCAAGAGTAATTGTCTCTGTGTCCATATAATTTAATAGCCATTTCTCAGTTCACTACAGTTCTTTGGGTTTCATGGATGCAAGCCAGATGGTTTTCAAAGTCAGATGTTTTAGAGGCTCATCTCCCAGGTGCAGGTCTTAAGGTTCAAGTGATCAATGGGTACAAACCCTTCATTCCTCAGGGAGAAGCCTGCTCCAGGTTTGTGAGTTCCCTTCTGATTGCTGGCCACTGAGTCAGGGGTGGGGAATTTAAGGCAAGATTGTATGTCAGCTTCTCCTACCTGCTTCAGTGTGGCCTTTTTTGCATTTGTCCAGTGTGAAGGAGTTGCACTGCTAAGTGTTCAGGTCTTTTTTAGAGAAAATTATTCCATTTGTAGCTGCAGATTGGGTGTATCCATAGGAGAAGGTGAGGTCAGGATCTTCCTGTTTCCATCTTGAACCACCTCCTAGAAGTAAAATCAGACATAAAACCAAGGAACCAGACATATATAAAAGTTCCCCTTGGAGAGAGACTGGAGTGTGGCAGAGGGAGAGAGTGAAGATGGTGCCAACTGACTAGAGTAAGGCAGAGAGCAGAGATAGTACCTGCCAGGAAAGAAAAAAAGACAGCATCCTCCAGCTGGAACAAGGTGGAGGAAGAGCACCCCAGTAGGTCCCCAAATGTGTGTCAAGTCAGAAGCCTGACCTCCAGGCCAAGCTTCAAGCCAAGCAATTAAGCCTTTCCCACACAAAGTCCAGGCACTTGTCAATCAGCCAATTCCACAGTGGAATATGGGACAGGTGAGTCTGAGCACGTGAACCACTTCTAAGGTCACTGTACCCTTGTGGGTATCGTGAATGCAAGTCCTATTGGTTTTCAAAGCTACGTGCTTTGGGGGCTTGTATCTCAGGTGCAGGATATAAAAGTTGGGGGTACCTGATGTGGGGTTTAAACACTTCACTACTTGGAGAAGTTTTGGCCTTTGAGTTCCTTTTGAACTGTGGGTTGCTGTGCTGCAGGTGGGGTTTATGGCCAGACTGTAACCCAGCCTCCACTACCTTCTTCAGTGTGAGCCTTCTCCTCTTGTTTGCCCAGTATGTGGGAAGAGGTGAGTTTAGGATCCTCTAATATTGCCATCTTCAAAGCTGTTTATGTTTTGAACAAGCTGGTGGTAATCCCTTTCTCATTTCAGGTTATTGTGAGGAAAAATCAAGTCCATATGTCTTCCAAACATTTAGCTTGCATAACAGCAACACCTCCCCCAACTAAAAAAAAGATGGTGTATCTTTCGAAAAAGGGGAAAACCAGTAAGTTAGACTTCTTGCATTAAAAACAATCCCAATCCAAAATGTTGGCAGACAAGTTTCATCAGAGATGAACAGTAAAGAAAGACAGCTAAGCACACTGGAGGGGCAAAACAAGATAGTCATTGCATATTCTTGCCAGGTGCCTTTTTTACCCCCGAATAAAAAGCCTTTCCTGCTGGGAAAAAGTGACTAAAGTATAAACAGAAAAACAGCAGCCACTGAGTTGGGAAGAGGAAAGAAGGGGAAAGAAAGGGGGAAAAGAAGGAAGGAAAGCTGAGGAAGGAAGAAAACTGCATTTACTGGTTCATGCAGTCAAGACTGAAGGGCAGCTAGGTCTAGCTCTTCAAATCAGTACAACACTTTTGCCAGAAATGTTTTCTGTAACTCCAAACTTGGGAGATTTCAATAATGTTTGATCTGTCACTTTTTCAGGCATCAATAAATTTACAAAAAAGCTTCGGAGTCCATATGCAATCGATAACAACGAACTACTTGACTTCCTTTCCAGAGTCCATTCAGATGTACAAGTGGTATGTAGGGCTCATTATTATTACTATTATTTTAATGTAGTATGGCACTGGGTTTTACCTTTTATATCCTTTTAAGTTCAAAGGCTTTAGAAGAGTCAGGTAAAGTTAATAAAACTTGTAGCAGATTTTGCTATTCAAGAATTTGGCCCATTTTGACTGTTATTCAAGAACTTATAGAGGGAAATGTAGAATGAGAAGAGGTTGCATAAAGAACCCATCAGGGCTGTTAGGGACAATTTTTCTTCCAAGGATGGTTCTGCAGGAGATTTTGAAAGGAAGTCACTATTAAGTGAAGGGAGGAAATAGCAATATTAGATGAAGGCAAAGTGTGCTAGTGGACATTTAAGAGACTATACTTCTTTGCATAATTTACATTGAGTTTTAGAGATGCATTATTTTGGAAATCAGTGGAAGGGGGGGTTGACTCCTTTTTGAAGACTGGAGCATACCTCATTCCTTTGAAATTTTTTGAGGTTAATTTAATGCCCATTAATCATCATCTATTTAAGAGTAAAATGAGAAATATTTTTAATCAAAATATCTGGAAGTTGGGTTGTAATAATACCTTTTTTCCTTTGTGTCAGTTGAGTTTTTGATTTGGTATCAGACATGAGAGTGGGCTGGATGGAGATTAAGCCTATATTAAACAAACAATAAATGGCAAAGAATTATTATCCAGCCCTTCCAAACAGATGGAGATGGTTTTGCTTTTAACGTAATGTGTTGTGGACAGTGATGACCCAGGACTCTCATGTAGGTTCTAGCAGGATTTCCCTTCTGACTCCTGCTCTATCATTCTATTGTTTTCGACATCCCAGCTGCAGATTTCATACAGCTTCCAGAGTGAGCAATTTTTTTCCCCATAAGCACAGTCTCTCATTCCTTTGCTTTTTCTTCATCAGAAAGTGGCCACCTGACCAGTCTTCCTCTGAACTCTGTTTAAACAGGTGCAATACCATGAACTGAAACCAGATCCTTCTCACAGCCCATGTAAAAGGAAGAAAAACAATCTTGGCTAGCTAGCTCCCAGCACTGAGGAGACCAGCATTTGTTTGGGAAGATAAAAGAAAAAGCCTTCAGCCTCAGCAGCATTTCCTTTCTTCCTGCTTTTTATTTATTTTGCCTTTTTATCATGATTGAGAGAATTTGTAAATAGTGTACAAAGGCATATGTCTTTGAAAACATACTTCCATTGTACAGAATTGATTTGATAAAGGTTTTGCTACTGCTGCGTGAAAGCCTGGTTAGCAGTGGTAATAACAAAACACGTTGGAACAAATGTTAAGAATGAGAACATTGGGAGACACACAGGTCTTTAGTTGTAAGTGGAGAAACCAGAATATTAGATTAAATGTTTAGCTATGCTCTGATGAAATCTACATAAAATATAAATCTCAATTTGATTTTAAGGTTTTTTTTTAATGTGACTATTTTTTTATCTGAAAAGTAATCCATTACATTTTTCTATGTTTTGTACATTTCAAAAGGGAGGGGGGACTGCAAAATCTAAGAGAACAGATGCATTTCAATTTAACATGAATTTTGACTGCAGATCCTGACCTTCATTCCTGTGCAAATTATTTAGATATGCTAGGCTGACTTTAATTTAACCAGTGAAGGTATATTTACCCCTTGAAGAGAAACTTCCACACTCTTGAAATCCTACAAAGAGAACTTCCAAACCATCTATCATTCCATCTAAACCTTAAAATCTCCACAGGACTACACACAAATACTGCCAGGTTTATAAATGATTGCTTATCTGAATTTTTATACATACCACTACTTTAATTTGTACCAAGTCTGCAAATCAGCAACCCAGTTCAATTTCAAAAAAACAAAAAACAAAAACTAGCAAACTAAATCCATATTGCTTTTTGTGTCAGATCATACTTATGATGTGCATCTAAAAATATTTAATACTGAAGTGTTCTCACACAAAATATCTTTCTCACTAGATTACTGAAATGCTTTAGTGCATACTATGATTTTTGCTCTCAGTGTGAATTTTAATGTAGACTGATATGCCAGTGTTTCATTACATTCATGTATAGAAAATAATTATTCTTGATGATATGAATGCATGAAAACCTATTTTGTAAAATACACTGCTTATGGGGAGAGGAGTTTGCCTTTAAAAAAATGTTCTGCTACTTACCATAGAATCTATACTCAAAAATTGCATTCCCAAGACTCCTACAGTAGTTTTTGTACTTAACTCTCTGGTACATCAAGGGAGTATACCTCTGGAGACAGAAATAATTTGGTGACAATGTCTTACTTCCCTGACAAGATAGGGGATTATGCTTGGTTTGAAACTGCTGCAATGTGCACTATTTTATTAATAATAGCCTGGAACAGGTGAAGATGGGTGTTATACTGGAAAAATGTAGAAAAGCCAGAAGCAAGAAGTATATATTTCACTCTAAAGGAAGAGACTTTAAAAATAAATTTACTCTCATCAAAGCTGATTTTTTAAAGTATTTTTATTTTAAAGCTATGTTGTTAAATACTATTTCTTATGATAGAACTATTTTGACCTGTTTATACACTATGCTTGAAAGAATGTCAATTAAATTCCCTTTCTACATAAAGGCTTTAACCTCAATATGCTCTATTCAGCTCTTATTTATAATAACATGCTTCTATCTGCATACCATCAGTTCGTTGCTAAGACAAAATACTCCATAAAGTTGTTACTACAGAAAGTTTACTGATGGGATAATTTGTTTGAAATAACTTTTGATTATATCTTGTGTGAAATTTATGTTCTATGCTGACAGTGTCTACAAGTCTGATACTCTACAACTTCAGATGCACCTAGTGGATAGTAACATAACCATTATTAACAGATGACTAATTTCTGTTTGTTTCATTCTATCAAATTCCAGATGTTTAGTTCAATGATAATGTTGACGACTATACATTCACTGCATTAAATAAAAAAAATAATCTTTTCTAAGTATAATCAGTAGTTTTCTTTTTTTGGTGGTTAAGAGAGGAGTGAGTAATGAAGGACTGTCTGCATATTCATGTAACTGTCACTTCTCTTAGAGAAACCTAGGTTTGGTTTGGACAGCAAGGCCTTCCTTGAAAACTTAAAACCTTGACTACAGAACTCAGAGAAGTAAAAACTTAACTTGAGAACTGATAAGATACTGAGAGGAATCTTCACTGCTTTTACAAACTACTAGATTCACAGGCTAAAAAATAAGAGACTGTGTCTAACAGAATTTTAACAATTTCTCCTTCAGGCTAAGGTTTAGTTTTGCTTCTTGAAAGATGTTTAACTTGATTTAATTTTGAGAGATTTGCCATGTACACTTGACCACTGAACAATATGGGGGTTAAGGAACACTACTTGCACAATGAAAAACCCAAGTATAACTTTTGACTCCCTGAACATATTCTTAAAAAAAATATGCGAGAGAAGAAAGTGTTTTTCAAATTGTCAAAAAAAAACCCCTCCAGAACTACTAATATATTTTTTTGAAAAAATCTGCTTGTAAGTGAACCTGCACAGTTCAAAGCTGTGTTGTTCAAGTGTCAACTGTAAATATTTGAAAATATCTTTAAGAAATTGGATGTCACTCTTAACTCCTATTTGGACTGCTAAATATAGTAGTCATGTGACCTATTAAATACATTCTTCGGTATCTTTTAGAGTAAATTCGTTGATGGTCATTTATATTCCAGTCTACTATTGTTGCCATTAATTGTGGTAATTCATAAGAAATGCAAATTTTAATTTTTTCATTTATAAAAAAACATAGTACTTCTTGTTCATTTTGCTACTGTTCCACAGACTTAAACTGATAGATGCAGTAGGGATTCCAAACTATATCTGAACCATTCTATGTAAGATAATCTGATTATATATATATTCAGTATCTATTGTAGAATTTGCCCTGTGATAGGTAACGGTCAAACCAACCATATTAAAATCAAATCTGGAATTAAAGTATGAGAGTGAAATTAAATTGGTATGTTTCTGAAAGTAACTTTTATAGAATTTTATCCTGTATTTAAAAGAAGAAAAAATTCAGTAGTAAGCTCTGTTATTCAGGAACCATAGAAACTTTTTTTCCATTATCTCACTATCCAAATGTATCTATGGCTGAAAGTAGTCTAACTTGAATTAACACACCTTACTGGAGGATTTAATTTGTTTATACACTTGTTAAATTCACCTAAACGTTTATTTTTCAGTTTTTTACTCACTCAGCATTAGAAAACACATAAAAAATATACATATAAGACAGCTGAGGCTCCAGACATACAAGCAAAGAGAGCCACCATTGTACTTCTTGCAAAAGATTCAAGTATGATTAAATTAATGCTTCTTTAAATTCTGGGGCTTTGTATGTCAACTATGTGAAAGAGAGAGAGAGAGAGAGAGAGAGAGAGATTGAGTGTGTGTGTATGTGTACAGATGCCTATTTGATTAAACAGTATCTAATTTAGAATCAGTCTTTTTAATTGCTCAGTCAAATATGAACTAAAACCACATAAAAAATAATGTAATAAATACAACAGTATCATTCCTTCAACCAATTCTCTTTCCCAGAATGACTGGTGTGACTCACTGAAAGAAAAAAAATATGGAACGCCTTTTTTTTGGGAGGGTGAAAATGTTACCTCTTATGCCTCAGTTTCTACATTTGTATAGAGGCAATCACATGATAAGACTTATTCACCTAAATCTCTGAGGTTTATGAAATACCAAAGAAAATTTCCTGTTTCTTAATTACTAGAGACATACCTGATACCTGAGTCAACAGTCAAGAGTTATTACAGAGACAGCTGGACCACAGAAGGGAGGTGAGGGAAAGTAAATGCCAGGATTTGTCTCAAGTTCAGAAATCTTTAAATAAAGATATTCAGAGAACTGGGAACCTTATAACTAAATGCTACATCATTTCCACAAAACACTCTTACTTTATACAATTTGATCATGGCAATTACAAGTTATATAAGAATACTAAGCCAAAATAAAAACCACTAAGGGTCCACAGTGGTCACATGCTATTGAAACTAACAACACTATGAAAGGTTTGCTGGAATTAATGATTGATTATGTCTATTTGTGCTTTTCCAAGAGCATCTGACTTAAGAACCAAAAAAAGGGAAACAATCAAATATGTAATTGGTCTCAAATAAGTTTCAATGTATTGGGATCCTTCTTATTTCATATTCTAAACTAACAATGACAAAAAAGTGTTCTATCACGTGCACAAGCAGTATTTTTGTAGATAGGTTTTTAAAATTTATCTGATGGTTGTGTCTACAGCTGTCCCTGAAAAAGTATGACTCATTTGAAAAAAGGTAACCAAATGGCACTGTTGTTCTGCTCTAGTTGATTAACAGTGTTCTTCTATGTTAAGCTGAAAGCTTTATTTGTATTAAAACAGAAATAGACAAGTAGTTGTGCCAAAACTTTTTTCAGTTTCAGCAAAAATAAAATTGCTATGTAATTCTCACTTGCTGTAGATTCTTCAGTGTGCTTTCAAAAGAGAAAAGGAGCGACCAACCTGAGAGTCAAAGTGAACCTTGCAAGCCACCTCTCGCATTCCCCAGAGGAATGCACTGAAGACACTCAGACCTGGCTGAGTGAGGTTGTCGGGGTGCTAGTGAGGTGGTAATACAGGCTCAGTTCCTCTTCCTAGTCAAAGTTCAAATGGCATGAGTTAACTTGAGGCATTTTAATTTGCTGGAGTTCAAGAGGTAACAAGTTTATGGGAAATGCTAACTGCATTGAGAAAGGTGCACTCCTGGCCACAAACACTCCTGTTTCTTAATTACTAGAGACACACCTGAGTCAACAGTGAAGGGTATTACAGAGACAGCTGGACCATAGAAGAGAGGTGAGGGGAAGGAAATAACACGGTTTGTCCCAAGTTCAGAAGTATTTAAATACAGATATTCAGAGAACTGGAAACATTATAACTAAATGCTACATCATTTCCACAAAACACTCTTCCTTTGTACAGCTGTGATCATGGCAATTACAAGTTAAAATCTGTGTGTCTTATAATACTAAAACCATGGAAAACAATTTATTGGTGTCAAGAACTAATAAACTTTTGAGAAATCTGACTAACAAGTGTCTATTTTCCATTATAAAGAAAGGGATGTTTGTGATTTTGTTATCTTTGTTGTATAATGGGGAAAGCAGGTAACCCAAGCTCTGACCCAACCTTACACAATGGTATGCCTACCCCTTACCTTTGTACTGAAACTTTTACAAACTTCAGATTCCATTTACAAAGAGACCTAGCAAACTGTAGCAGGGCCTCTGAAACACATGGGAACCTACCTGGAAAAGTCAAATATTACATATGTTTGAAGTAGTAGTTTTAAAATAGATCAATGTAGTATTCTCTTTTGTAGGATGAAAAAATGTATTTTCAGATATAACAGAGGAAAAAATTTCTGGGGGGATATGAACATCTGGCACTTGATAATTTAACTCAGAGGGCAGGCATACTAACTCTTGTTAGGGTGGTGTACCAGGTACACACCATCCATTCTTATAGTATTATGATGCTAATACAAAGAACAAACATGTACTTGGCCTATTACGATCTCCTAAGTCTGTGACAACCCTGACAAACAGGTGAGACGTCTCCCCCCAAAAACACACTGGTATAGTACTCTCCAGTATACTGCAGCCATGATACAGGGATCCAGTGTATTTTGAATTGTACTACTTAAAACAGTACCATATAAAAATCCATTTTCCTGCCCTTCACAGAAAAGCTGCAGAATAATATGCTCTCCAGAACAGTGGTAAGACACTTTCACTCAGAATTCTCTCAATAGATGGCTAGCTGCTCACTTCTGCCTTAATGTTGTAGATAATAAAATTTGCATTAAAAAGTGAATTTTTTTCACATCTATGATGACAGAAGAAAAAAATCTCAGTAATATAGTAGTGAACTCCCTTCAAAGGCACTTAAGGTACAGACTTTGATAAACATAGCCATCATTTAATCTTACAGTTGCTTTCTGGCGTTGAATCTGAAAAAAAAATTCAGAGAACGAGTAATTCTTTAGGTTCCATGAAAATGTTTCTAAAATAGGAAAAAGCTGATAGTGAACAGGCATTATCATGACTCCACATGGTATCTACATGAAGGTTAATCTTAAGCAATCGAAGAATCCTACTAGAGAGTAATAACCCAACCAATGTGGTGAGGTGCTACTTTCAAGAGGCTTAACATGAAGATCGAAGCAGCATATTCATAAAATGAGACTTACTCTCAAAGGAGCTGAATATAGTGCGTGGGTATTATCTGAGATCTGCATTAGATGATACTATGTTTAATTATGTTCTACCTTGAAGAAAAGTGGAATATTTTAAAAACGTACTTTATATTTCAAAAATCCAACAGATGCCAGCTTAAACAAAACTTTAGAAAAACTTCAGGACTGGTTCTTATATCAAAAGCATTATTTAAAAAAAATTAATTGACTATGGCATTATAAACAAATTATACTACAAAGAAACTTGGAAAAATGAAAAAAAGAAATATTCAAAATTCTATCACAAACATCACTTTAGCAGTTTATTTACCTATGAGACTAGATTTACTTATATACCTCTTGCCTGATTTTATACCTTAACTTCTCAATCAATATATTAAAACAGCATCTAGAAATCTTCACCCTCTTGATTCCTTTACACCAGAGTAATTCCTAATGATGTTTCCCCTCACTCCTTTGCCCAGTTTTCATCTTTACAGTTCTGCTTTTATTAAAATCCTTATTTTACCAAATTTTACTTTTTGTAATTTTGTCTTTCTGTTGTAAAAGAGAAACAATGTAAAGTAGAAAAATGAACCTTCAGGATTAAGTCAGATATCCAAGATATATATTCCTTAAAACAAAAATAAAAAACGATTATAAATCAAACCATTCCAGTCATTAGAAAAATTTATCAGCGTCATGACATAAACCATTGCTGACCTAACCTTGTACTGACAACAAACTAAGTTCTTTTCATCTGTCACCACTTTTTAGATTAACGATTTTTTTCAACATTTATTTCATTTAAGGACAGAGGAATGGAGAATCACTGGAAATCTTAGCTCATCTACTATTAAGACAAATGAAAGTATAGTAGGTGTAAATTCAAAGGTGGATTCCAGATTTTCAGTTCAGTGCAATTTACCTGCTGGAAGTACCAAGCACATTTTTTAAAAACTTCCATTTTTTTTGAGAGGACTAAATGTGTTCCAAAGTGAAGGGCCCCCACCAGTAAGATGGCGAACTTCCGGCTTCTCTTCGGGGTCCTCGGTTCCCAGCGGTGCCACCTGAAGCCCAATCACCTCTCGCCCCCCTCCCAATCCCAGCACCTAGCCAACAGCCACCAGCCCCATAGAAGTAACACCACAATCA